CGCGAACAATTTCCAGGGCCCTTTCCAGCGCCAGCAATCGGACCGACAAGCAATCGGGGGAACCCGCTCCGGCTGACGACACCGAGGATGAACAATCTCTATCTCGTGCGGAATCTGCTGCCGAATCTGTGTCAACGACTCTCCGAAGCAAGCGCTCCGACGGCAGCCTTCAAGGGGGCTCTGTGGATGCTGGCAGTACACCTGGTCATTCTCTCCGCTACGGCACGCGGCCGAAGTATCTGCGTAGCCGGGGCGCCAGCCAGCGATCCTCCGTCTCCTCTTTCATCACCAACCCCGATACCCACGATGAACTTGAGAGCGAAGGCACTGCGAATCTTGGCGCCGATTTCGCCCTGCAATCTGGAGGTGCAGCTGGCACGCTGAGCTTACCCCGCAGTCTCAGCAGCATCCTGTCGCGCTCCGTGAGCATCGGCAGCATGGCCTCGGGTTTGGACGAGCCCGAATCGCTACCTAGTCAGCTTGAGACACTTGAAGAGGACGACAACCGGTTCTCGCCACGCCGATCAGCCCGAAACGAAGATCTCCTGGCTACCCCGAAACCCTCCAAGGAAAATCTAACTGCGCCCACCGATACTGTCATCGCCCGGCATGTTAGAAATGTGCAGGTCCCTGAGTCGTTGGCCATGGAGTACAGGACTAAGAGCGGCTTTGTGACGCCCCGCAAGCCCTCAGACATGCCGCTTGGCGCCTCCACGAGGTCGGGTAAGAACCTGACACTCAAGGAGCAGAGCAGCACCATTGAGCGTCTGTCCAAAGAGAACTTTGACCTCAAGCTGAAGGTCATGTTCCTCAGCGATCGCCTTGACAAGCTATCCGAAGAGGGTGTTAAGGAGATGATCTCGGAAAACGTGGAACTCAAGACGAGCCTCGCCGTCATCCAGCGTGATAACAAGGCCTTGCGAAGGCGGGTCAAGGAGTTGGAGAAGCAGTTGAAAGACGACCAAGACCGCCCCGGAACAGCAAAGAGTAATGGATCGTCTAATGACACCGCCTCCAACTTGGATGCTCAGGAACGTGAGGAGGAGTTGACATACCTGCGCGAGCGCGTCGAAGAATACATCACTGAGATTGAGAGGCTTCGGAACGATAACATGTCAAAGGAGGCAGAAAAGCGTAAGCTCAGTGAGGTGGTCAGGTCGCTAGGCGAGAGAACCAGCGGCAATCTTGGCAGTCAGGAAGAGGCCGACGTATGGAAGGACCTTCTCGAGCAGGAGACGGCTCGACGCGAGCAGTCCGACGAGGACAACCGTAAGCTGCGTGACGAGATCTTCCGCATGAAACAGGAAGCCAGTGGCGGCCACGGTGGCATGCACCACACCACCAACATTTACAACATCACCAAGAAGCACAGACAAGTCTCTCCAAGTCGCCCCGTGTCTGGCCTATCCGGTGATCTTGAAACGAATGGTGGCTTTAGTGCGGCAAGTACGTTGGTAGATGAACTCAGGAGAGAAAGTGAGCAACTACGACACGAAAACGCCGAGCTGAGGCGCGAGGTAGGAGCGCAGACATCCATGCTCACGTCGAGGAACCGTGAAAAGGAGCGATTATATCAGGAGATTGAGGATCTGAAGATGGCGCAGCGGCGAGGAGGACCGGCACCATCCACGGTGGACTCCCTGCTTGAGCGTTCGGCATCTCGCGCCGGCGCCCACCACCGGTCGATGTCAAGAGTCAGCGCCAGTAGGACGCAAATGACAGAGATCGATGAGCTGGAGCGCGAAGAGTTGGAGAACAAACTCGCCGAAACGCGCGACAAGATTAGCGAGATCAAATTACAGAACCAAGAGCTTCAGCGGGAGCTCGAGGGATGCATGGCAGACTTTGAGACAGCAGTCGAAGGTAAGAGCCAAGCTGAGGAAATCGCTGCCACACTCCAGGAAGATCTCGACAATGCCATGAACGACCTCGTGGCTTTGCAGGCCGAGAGGGACGAAGCGCTCAGGGAGCAGGCGGATATGGAGACGGAATTCGAATCGTTGCGGAAAGAAGCCCAGGAAGAAATCGATGCTTTGGAGGGCGAGGCCGACCAACGAAACGACGAGATACAAAGGCTGCAGTTTGAGCTCAATGACCGCACAGAAAACTTCGATGCCCTGCAGGAGGAAATGCGCAAGATGAGCGAAGCGCTACTGGGATTGGAGGACGAGACAGCAGCCAAGATTGGCAGGATCAAGCAACTAGAGCAAGAACTCGCAGAAGCCAACAAGGAGTCAGAGGAGCTCGAATCCAAGCTGCTCGAGTCCAACGACAAGGCTCAGCGGCTCAGCGTACAGCAAGAATCCAGCCAGGGTGAAATTGCTTTCTTGCGTGAGGAGCAGGAAGGCGACAAGATCCGCATCGGCGATCTCGAGGCGGCTCTCGCTAATACCGAACAGAGCTTGCGCGACGAACGCGACAGGATCAAGGAGCTAGAGCAGCGTCTTGTTACTGAGCGTCGCCAACACGAGATGGTTTCCAATCAGGAGAAGGAAGAGGTGACGCAGTTCGTCAACGAGCTTAACCGCGAGATGTCGGCGGCCAAAGACGAAGCCCGGAGGTTGCGTAAGAGTCTCACCTCTCGCGAAGTTGAGGCGACCGAATGGAAGGAGCGGCTCATGGAGTTGGAGAACAATCTTAGAGAGGCACTGGGCGATCTTAACGGGACACGATCCAGCCTTCTCAAGGTAGGCTAGGCAACAAGCCCCATAAGAGACACAGGCACTAACAGACATAGTCGATTGCAAAACTTCAGCGCGAGTTGGAGAACACCGTTCGCGAGCTGGACACCACCAAGGCATCGCTCGTCGAGAAGGATCGTATCATCAAGCAGCGCGACGCTTTGCTTGAGTCTCACGGCCTGGAGTCTCGCAAACTTGGGGGAGAGCTCGAAAAGGAGAGACAGGCGCACCGGACGACGAAGAACCAGTTCGAGACATTTCAGAAGACACACTTGCATGTGTCGAGAACTGTTAGCACACAGGACCTACGCATCTCGGAGCTCGAATCCTCGCGGACCCAGGACAAGAAGAAGATTTCGCATCTCGAGGCGACGTTCCGAGACCAGCTCACTGAGCGCAACAACTTGCTGCTTGTACTGTGGACCCGACTCTCGGCCCTTTGTGGCACTGACTGGGCGCACGACAATAGTCTCATCAATGGACGCGCGCTGCCTTCTCTGGAGGCTGTGGCTACTATGCTGCCCGGCTTCAGCAAAAACTTGCTGGGCGCTATCAAGATGATCGAAACCATGGTTGGTGGGTTCTCGTCTCGCGTCAAGGGCGTGGAACGGGACTTATGGCGCGAGTATCAGAGCCTCGAGAACAACCTCGAGATCCGGACTAAGAAGCTGGAGCGGCTGGAGACGATTGTACGCAACAGCATAGCATCGGGATCCCTCGGGTCCTATGAGCAGGCTAGAATGGAGCGCCTCGAGGACGCCTACCGTCAACTCAAGGTTGAGAACGCAACACTACGAACCGCTCAGGACGTCAGGAGTCGGGCTGCCTATTCAGCAACCAACGACCCCAGCGCGGTTATCACTGAGCCCGGCAGTGGAAGCCCGTCGCCGTCCATTCCCACAGGACCGAGAGAGCGAGAGAGGAAGCCTCGCAAGGGCGAGAGAACGTCGACGATGACACGGAGCGTTTCCAGTCATACAGTGACGACGCCTGGGTCAACCAATCACAACCCTTTTGAAGCCACGTTGGCGGAGAGGGACCCAGCAGACAACCGGTGGATTTTCAAGCTCCGTGACCTCGAGAATAAGCTCAAGGCTGAGCGCGAAGGCCGCTCGCAGGACCGTAATGCGGCAAGACAGCGGCTGGGCGGACTCGAAACAGAAAACCGTGATTTAAGGACGGAGGTGAACCGCATACGCAGGGCCAACGGACAGTTGGGAGACAGCTGAAAAAGTAGACTTGGCTGGGATTGCGTTGCGGAGGTTTCATTTGTATTCGCTTAACCTCTTGTACCAACAGCAGAGCCGGAATGTGTGGCTCAACGTCTCTTTTGTTGTTGTATTTCCGTTCTTCTCAGCATTTGTAATTTCAGCGGCGAACGGCCTTTGCTAGGGATCTGGAGGAGTTTTGCGGACAGGCCGCCTTTTGGGTACAACAGTCTAATACCAAAGCCTCTCTGTCTGGCGTTGTTTGTCAGCCTTGCCTTACAGAACACCCTTATGTCATCCATATTACATCGCGCCTAGTTGTAAGGTGTTGTGTGGCTGACGGTTTGATTAACAAACTGCAAAAAGATAAAGGTCAACAGAGGCCAATGTTTGGCTTCTCGTGTGTGTCGGGGCTGCGGCTTCGGACTCGCCATGTAGCGTGGGGCTCCTCCGACTCTCCGCCCCAGTCCCGCACTGTTTGCGGGGTTCCCTCCGCCTTCACTTGCAAGTCTAGCCACCCACCTTAGCTTACTGGATGCGATTTCGAACTCCCGTTGGTCACGCGCAGAGAGCACAACGGGACGATGCATGTCATTCTGCACCTCCAAGACCGACTAGAGCGGGGCAGAGCGGGGCTCCGCATTGATCTTGCTCGTTATGGTTGCCCGCCTCAAACGCGGGGGATCCGGGGTGTGGTCGACGGATGGGAATGCAAGCTAATTACACGGTCTTTCTCTCGATTTCTTAACTTGGTCTTGCGGCGTTGCCAAGTTGAGAATGCCGACCACGTCGAGGTCGATGCCACAACATGAGTGATGGCATTGGGCCTTCTCATCTGGTATAAGAGGCCAATCGGACCTGCTTTTGCTGATGATTCTCAAAGGCATCATCATCATCGGCGAGGTTGACGGGATTAATGTTTGACGAACAACATATTGACCCAAGTTTTAAGTGAGAGCACTTCTAGTTTTCTATACTTACATCATCTCTCAAACTGGGCAACTTCACCATATGAGATTCGCTACCTTGGTTCTTGCAAACTCATAAAGACCCCAATTCGAGACTCGTCCGGAAGAAGCCACTACGTCTACATCGTCAACAGACCACCAAAATGTTCCGTCTCCACAGCCTGTCCCGGGGTCGGACACGCACCCTTCTCCGCCTTCCATCATCACAATACCGAACAGTCATGATGGGCGCCGCAGCGCCAAAAAAGGAAGGCGATATCTCTTCCGTCTTCGTCTCTCTTTCGGGCGCCGCCCGTGAACCACTCCCGGACCGCTTCCGTGTGCTTAAAGAGGACCTCATCGCGGGTCACGAGGATGCCGTCGCTGCGTCCTGGAACCGGCTTCTGCGTGCTTTGCGGGAGGAGAATCAAGTTATCCGGGAAAAGGGACCCGCCATCATCCCGAGCGTTGAATTCAAAGACTTGGAGGGCGACATTGAGAGGCTAAAGGGTGATATTCGCAAGCGTGGCGCCGCTGTCGTTCGTGGTGTCGTTGATGAGAAGGAGGCTAGAGGATACAAAGAGGAGGTTGAGGAATATGTCAGGAAGAACCCATCCACAAAAGGTAAGCTATCCACGGCCATGTCTACTTTCCTGCAAATGAATTCATAACTAACCAATTCCTCATAAAAAAAGCTTTCCCTGCAGACAACCCTCAAGTCTACGAGCTCTACTGGTCTCACCCACAAATCAAAGCCCGCTCGCATCCCAATATGCTCAAAGTCCAGTCGACCCTCATGAGCTCCCTCTGGAACAAGTCCCCCTCGGCCGCCATCTCTCTGCAACCCCTGACCTACGCCGATCGCCTTCGCATCCGTCAGCCCGGCGACGCAACGTTCGCCCTCGGCCCACACATTGACGGCGGGTCTGTGGAGAGATGGGAACGCGAAGGGTACGGCAAGGCCGGGACCTACGATGCCGTCTTCCGAGGCGAATGGGAGAAGTACGACCCGTGGGACGTCAGCGCCCGCGTCGAAGCTGTGCAAGACTTGTACAATGGTGCCGGCGCATGCAGCATGTTCCGCATGTTCCAGGGCTGGCTGAGCCTGAGCAACTGTGGACCGAGGGAGGGGACCTTGTTGGTGAACCCGTTGGTGCAGCTCTCGACCGCCTACTTTCTCCTCCGGCCGTTCTTCCAGCCGCGTAGGGAATTATTTGCGAGTGGCAGCGGGGTCGTCGCGGGAGAAGGCGAGGAGTTCTTGCGAGAGGAGAACTGGGCGTTTACGGGCGGCGAGGCAATGAGTAGCGAGCTACAAGGGGCAACACCGGGACACGGACAGGAGCTCAGTGAGGCGCTGCATCCGCATCTGCAACTTGATGGGACAATGGTTCATATCCCGCGCATCAAGCCTGGGGACTTTGTCGTTTGGCACGCGGACCAGATCCACGCCGTCGATAAGGTTCACCAGGGACAGGGAGACTCGAGTGTCATGTACATCCCTGTGTGTCCGGCGACGGATTTGAATGTCGGGTACTTGGCGAGGCAGAGGGAGGCGTTTCTTGAAGGGCTGCCAGGGCCGGATTTCCCCGGCGGAAAGGGGGAGAGCGAACACGTGGGGCGGCCTGGAGAGGATGCCATCGAGGGGGTGGAGGCGAGGCGGGCGATGGGATTGGAAAAATTGGTCGGCGCTGGAGATGGGCATGGAGAGAGGGATTTGATTCAGAGGGCGAACAAAGTCCTGGGGGTTTGAAAACCAAAAGAAAAGGGGTATCTGATTTGGTAGAGGTCTTGGCTCAAGTATCAAGCTAATGGGAAGAAGTGAGCATACATGTTTGACCTATCACTTGAGCCGCCGCACACGAAGATGATGCTTCCTGTCTTTTCCCTAGACCTACCTATATGTCGTTTTTCTTCTTTTTCCTCCTCAGTATGAAGCCATAGTAATCAAACGCACTCTCCCCGCCAGAGAGGACATCCATGTCCATGTCCCAAAGATTATCGGCATTTAACAGCGGCCGCATGAAGTGAGGCTGTCTGTAAGTGATGTACAGAAACACCCCGTCGTCCTTGAGGGCGCGGTGGACCTCGCCGAGGTACTTGGCCGTGTTCTCACGAACGTCGACTGGAGGCGACCACGGACTCCCATGGATCATGGCGTCGAGGGTGCTCTTATCAAAAGCGATGTCGACAGACGCAGTCGGCGCGGCATCGGGCATGTCGCGGACGTCGGCCCATTTCCACTCGATGCCGGCCAAGTCAGCGTGTCGTTGTCTCATGAGGTCGACGACGACGGTGGAAAAGTCTAGGCAGAGCTGGTTCTTGTAACCGCGTGCCGAAAGGTCGGCGGGGATCGTCTATGGTGGAAATGGTGAGTGGTGGATCTGGGCCAGAGGTCAAACGTGTGAGTGTTGAGTGTTGAGTGAAGGAGAAGTAAAGGTGGCAGCCAGGGTGAAACGTGAGCAAGTGATAAACAGGGCGAGAAAGCAAAGTGACTTTGGAGGCGAGGGGCACAAGATACATACACTATCCCCGGATCCGAGGTGCATAATACGCGGGGAGGTGTCAGGGCGACGCTGGGAAAAGAGATGCTTCTCAAAGAACGGCTCGAGGGCTTCGAATGTGCGGAACCATTCATGGGTCGGATGCGAGCCATCCGACTTGGTATAACGCTGATTCCAAAACTCGGGGGTGGCCAGAGCCTCAGCCTCCCTTAGTTCTGCCATACCTACGGTGCCAGATGTTACGGAAATCCGGAAGATGATAAGATTGTATCACAGTAATCGGTGATGTGAGTTGACGGCGGTGAAGGAGACATACCTTATACAGGGTGTCGGAACGAGATGAGATGGCAGGTGTACCGTAAAAACTCACGCCGTTAAAACTTGCGCTAGCCCGTGCACTTGACACGTTAAGCCTCTCTCAGTACAAAAACTCACTAATCTCCGCCACATTTTCAGATCTTAATTCTAAATAGAGGCACGTATTAGCCAGAAGGTGAGTAAGACAACGGGAGCACGGGCTAGCGCAAGTTTGAACGGCGTGAGTTTCTACGGTATGCGTATGCAAGATAGTAAGGGTGTCAATGAAAGTAAGAGCGACTGGTGGTGTAAGTGAGGCCTGGGTGAGATGAAACAAGACACCAGACGAGTGAGCGAGAAGATGAGAGCTGGTCGCGTCGTCGAGGGGCCGAAAAAGATTGCGGCCCCGCGACGAGATGAGCGATGGTGGGGGCGGGGCACTGGCAAGGTTCGAATTGAGGATTCTCATTGGTGAACGGCCACCTTAGCTAATCAGCACACATGTCCTTCGCCATGGAAATGGAAATGAGGGGTTCACTCGACTCAAGAAACATAACAAAGGTATGGTAGATGAAGCTCAAGCTCATCAATTTCATCAAATAATGATTGCACATGTGACGTACTAAAGTGAAATAAATGCTCATAAAGCTCGTTCAATTCATCAACTTTTTGTTTCCCCAAGACATGCCCATTCCCAGCCCGATTCCAGAGTACCTCGAACACCATCTTGTGGCAATTCAATCATGTTTCTCTCACCTCATCATTGCCGGATTCTTCTGACATCCAGCCCTCCGAACTCATCGAGTGGGACACCATTGCGCCTTACTGTTGCTGCGTGATAGGAGCCGAAAAGGGAGTGAGGTAGTCGCCCTTGCCGATCTGAACGCCCTTGGCGCGAAGGATGCCGTAGGCCGTGGAAATGTGGAAGAAGAAGTTGGGCATTCCGTAGGCGACGAGGTAGTCGCGGGCCTTGATCTGCACCTCGCCCTTGCCGAAGCCGAGTCCAAGGGGCACGAGGGCATCGGTGCGAGCCTCGAATGTCTTGGGGTCGGCGGCCTTGACGATGGTAATGGTGTGCTCGACGCGCTGGCGCAGGTCGTCGAGGCTGGCAAACTCCCTGCCCAGGGCCTCGGGCTCGGTGCCCTGAACGCGGGCGACGATCTTGATGGCGCAGTCGGCCGCGACGAAGAACTGGAAGCTGAAGGGCAGCATGTCATCCGCCAGCTTCCAGTCGAGAATCTCCTTGGCGTCAATGGACTTTTCCTTGGCGTACTCCTCGGCCTTGGTGATGATGTTAAGGAGCGAGTTGAGACCCGCAAGGAGGAGGGGGACGGAGGCGTCGTACAGAGTGTAGGCCATGTTTGCGGTTGTTGGTGGATGAATGTTGATGTTGACGATTGGTAAAGGGCTGCGTTTATGGTGCTTCAAGACTTGCAAGAATGCCAATAGATCTGTGAGGGGCCAGAAGCTTTATATGTCCTCAGCAAGCCATCCACTTGACAGCTGAAGACAGTCCCACGAAAGAGCGGTGGAAGCATGAAGCGTTTGGAGCTGATCCAAAGCCCCTGACCTGGTGCAGGTAGCTGGTGATCGGGCGTTTCTGTCCAGTTCGACGGGCGGGTCTGCTTGACTAATGCGTCGGTGCAGGTTGGAGTGTTGTAGTACCGGGGAACTCAACACAGCAACCGTCATGCTCACATACCAATCTCACTCTGCAGCCCTCGTATAATGCTATTGAAACTCTGGCCCATTTGCGGCCCCTTGCGTTTGTGCGTGGGCACTCGCGCGGCCCATGCCGGGGCTTGTTTCTCAGTCTTCCACCTGATAGGCAAAGTTAGCTGATGACCTGCCCCCCATCGTGAGTGGTGAACGACTTACAAGGCCGGTCTTTACCACAGTATACGGATACCCAGGCCGAGGGGTGCTACCTTGCTTCGGAACTCGGGCCAGAGAAGTGCCATAGCGAACAGCGCAGAAAGGGCGGCGGGGCCCAGAAACGGAGCGCCCGCTGACAAATGCCTCTTCCTCGTCTCACTTGGTCAGGCTTCCCTCACCCATCCTCCGCAGTACGAAGCCCGAGTCGCGGCAGCGGGCTGCGGGGGCCGAGTGGGAGAGCCACTGGCATTCCCGTCCTTGTGCATGTGCCTCGGGGCTAGTTGCATCCGAGCTGTTGCAGATCCTTGGTTCTAGTGGCACTGAGAGTCGATGCTTAGAAATCCAAACGGTCGCAGCCTGGTAGGACAGTATCCATCAAGGTGAAAGGATTCCAGTCGACTAGATATGTTCAGTAAAGGAATGAAAAGACCGATGTAGAGATACACTTCAAGATATGGGACATACAATTACTTCACGAGCCTCAGATGGCAGATCTGATATTAAATAAGACAAGAACCAATCGGGACTTGGATGTAGACAGCGGCCCCAGAAGCTTAAATGGACGAAGACACCTCGCACTCTGCAAATGAAGAGATGGGTTCGACATTCGTCATAAAGCTATGCTATGGCGTGCTTATCAAAGAGAAGCACTCAAATCTTGTAAAGCCATCATAAAATCATGCGCGTGTGTATGTGAGTGTGTCTGTGTGGATCAACCAGGCGGGAACTCTAAAGGTAGCCTATTCCCGGCAGAACCATGACACTCTTACGCTAGACCAGCAGTCAGATCCAGATTCAGCAGGGAAGACGACCGGCCGCTGAGCAGAATCACGCTGAACATATCTTCGAACTCGACCGAGTCGACTTGCCTTGCTTGCTAATCAGTTTCGAAAAGGCCTCACGCAAGCATTCCAAGCGGGCTCACTCTACCCCGCCAAGTCCGGCCCGGCCCGGCCCAAACGAAGCCAGGAACACAAACCAAAAGAGGTGTTGTGTCTTCTCTGCAATCCTGGCGAAACATAACGACGGGTTTTGCAAAGAAAGAACCAATCATTGACTTCACTTCATTGTCTCTCCTTACTTTGTCCGTCTCGCCCGGGCTTGAGGCACTTCATCGATGTGCGCCACGGCCTGAGGTCAAGTAGTCGATCTCATTGCAACGAGGCCGCCCTTGGGCCGAATAACTTTTCCAAATGTCTGGCGTGACTGTCAAACAGGTCGCCCCAAATGCGTTTCGAGCAGGAGTCCTGGGCGCTACAAGCGTTGATCCAGCGTGTATTTCTTTTCCTTTTTACTTCTTGTCGGCAAATTCCAACTTCAATCTGCATATAGCTCTAACTTTTAAAGATGTTTTTGCTCAGTGTCCCACTCCCGTTCCCAAATTTCGTCAATAATATCACCGCTGCCTTTGACACACTTCCAGTGCCCCATGCCGTACTCTTTCGGTGCCACACGGCAACCTCTCCCACCTCCACCCACAATCAAGTTTCCAGGTCGATACTTTTCGTCGCGCTCCATCCGTCGTATCACGCTTCCATGAATTCTGACTTTGTCCGGAACGTCCCGGACTTCTCCCCTTGGCAGTGGCCACCTGATTGGTTTCCAACTGCCATCTGGCCTAAGATCGAGTCTTCTAAAGGGGAGATACTCCATCACCCGCCACATGAAGACACTGGCACGATGCATGCCACATTTGAAGTCAAGCGAGTCGTGTATCTTGGCTTCGTGGGCTGTCTGCATCATCACGTTGAATGACAAGGCCGTGCAGGTGTGCGTTGATGTGCCCGAGTTTGCCGCGTTTTCTGTCGCGGAAGCGGTGGGTGATGAGGGCTGGAAGTCGATAGTAGGGGAAGGCGCATCGATGTGAATTTCCGGGACTGCGATGGCTCCGTTCGGCATAGTAGCCGTCGACTGTCTTGCAGTTCGCGTGTTTTCTCCGGCTACTGATTCAACACAGCCGAGGTACTCGAGCTGGTCGAGATCAAATGTCAACCCTGCTCGCATGGCTTCTCTCACCATCCACACGAGGGGTATGTGACTGGCATTCTTTTGGCCAGGAACGGCGTCCCATCCTCCGCCTATATCGCCATGCCCTCCGGAGAACCATACCTCATCAACGTCCTGGTCAGCTTCGTCGTCATCCGAGTCGTAGGTGAGATCTTCCATGGGTGGCTTGGAGTTGATAGACGAGGCATCGTGATCCGTATACGCGTTGCCTGTTCGTTCGGTTGCCCTAGATCTGGACCTGGAGCGACTACGGAAAGGAGCCGGATGGTCTGCATCTTCCTCTTGTGGATGCACTCGGCGCCTACCACGGTCTTCTTTCGCCACAGCGTCGTCAGGTGCAAGTGTTGATCGCCGACCTGGACGATACTTTTCTTGGAACTCTTGCACTTTTTCGTTCAAAGGGTGATGGTGCTCCATCAAGCGCTTGGCTGCAGTTCTCCTCCGAGACTTCTTGGGCTCTTGATAAATGAGATCTTGGCGAAATTTGGCACGTCGTTCATCAATACTGACAGCATGCCTGATGACTTTCGCAGAGCTTCGCGCAGTGTACGGGAACTTGCTCCGCTGCATCCATGCCGTTTCGAAGCGCGGCACGCTGTTCACGGTGTCGAACAATCCCAAAAAGCGGATTCGTCTTATCGGTCGCGAGAATGTTTCTCTGAAGCCTTTGAGAAACTGATACATCTTCTCTCTGTCTTCTTTGCCCTCCGGTGTTGAGTTCGTTCTTCTGCATTGCCATTGTGAGAATGAGTTCCACGCGAAAGCGACCATTTCCTCATTGCCATGGGCAAGTAGACCAACAAAGTCCAACATCTCAGCCAGGAACCTAGCAACATAGGCACCTCGAGAGAAGCCAAACATGTAAATGTCGTCTCCTGGCGAGTAGTACCTCATCAAGAATCTGTAGCCGCCCACAACGTGCTGGTCAAATGACGAGCCGACTGCAGAGTCCTTGGCCATCTGGTACCAGGACTTGCATTTGGCCCTGAAACCATTATGCGTTAAATTTTCTGAGACAACATATGTCCCTATGCCGGCTGTAGGAATACGTATCCTTAGTGACATGAAATGTAAATGCAAAGGTGGCAGCACTCACGTTGATAGTAGTGGTCTATAACCTCTGTCAGCCTCGCCATCCCGAGGACGATTAAATGAATGATGTTCAAATCTCACATTGATCATTTGCGTTGCTGTCGAGCATGCGGAAAATTTTGAGAATATTGCTGTCGCTGTCATCTCCACGAAACTTATTACCGGTGCCGTCGAAGCATAGGATCAACTTTCTACGGCCACCACCGTGCGAGCCTCCCCTACAAGTTCCGTTGGCACATTGGCCACTTATATCTGGTTGATGTCGACTGTTCCTTGAGGGATCGCGCAAGTAAGCCTGCATTGTTAGATAGGGAGAAAAAAACGCAAGATGAAGGAAGACTTTGTCCGAAACGTAACGAGAGTCTAATGCTCCTGGTAGGTGTTGGATCAAGGTTGTCCTTAGTGTTGGCGAATATCAAATGTCATATACAACCATCTATGCCACAGAAACCTTGGCACGACGACTAAGATTGAGACATTTTGTAGCCCGTTACGTATGGACTGAATGACAATGTTTACCCAGGAAATCTGTCTGTTTCTGACTAACGACCAGCGTGAGGTGCAAGCGGATGATTCGGACCTGATCTGCGTAACCAAGCCGAACTTGGAACTCTGTTCCACTCACGCGGCTAGACAACATGCCGACTTAGTAGATTGGTATGGCGATTCATATGCCCTACTTTGGTCAAAATTTCTCAACCTCGCAAGTCGGCAAATCAGCAAGAAAATTCAGCAGAGCAGGTCCGGCATCGGCTGCAGTCTCTAAGGGTCACCCAGCTTCTGCCTCATGAGATCAGCTTGAGACAGGTCTAACACTCGTGCTCAAAAGAGAAAAGACAATAATGAAATACGGCAAGCTCGGACAGATACTTGAGGCTTGCCAAGGGGGAGTTCCTGGAGTAGAGTGAGACATAGCCGATTTCCATATCTGGATAGAAAGGGAGATATGTTTCGACCTTGGCAGTCCTCGAGATATGACACCAGAAGCGGAAAGTGAAATCACGAATTACGCCCTTGTTTCGGACGCGGTTGTTCCGAGACCTGCTTAGACGCCCCATTGCCCAACTGCATATGCCTACGTGTTGCCGAATCCCTGGGGAAACATGTGGGTATGTGATAAGGCGCGAGACATGAGTGCGCCAAGTCTCACAAACTGTTCTGAAATCCCGTGCAAGACAGTCAAGACAGTCCATGTAAGTAGCTAAAGCACCTAAGGATAGGATCGACTCGATATTGATGACGCATAACAACTATTGCCTGATCCGCAAGTAAATCATTACTGAGACACAGCCGATCGTTCGTAAATCTCTTTTAAAGTTCACTTTCCCACCATCATTTTGCGCCAAGGAACTCAAGTTTACATATCTAGATAGGCAGCACGCCACTCACATGCCAATCCGTCCAACGATGCTCCCTCGAACGAGCGACTACTTGCAACTGCTTGCATACCAGCAAAGTTCGAAGTCACAATGCCTGTCGCACAGCATACACGAACACCATTCATGTCTGGTTGAGCACACGTGAAACGTTCTCAGGTGATGTGCGAGTTGCAGTTGCCCAGGCAGCTACCACAAAGCATCCAAACACCAGTAGCTTCCTCAAATGAGAAAGAGAGGTCGGACGCGGATTATCGTGGACGTTGTATTACATCACACCCGGTCGTTTCTCCGCCCCGCTTTCGTTGAAGGATTACCCACGTAGCAGCACACCGGTTCCCAAATGCACGTCTCACGATACTAAACTAGCGCATTGGAAAATGCCGTAAGGGAATGGGCGGCAGCCAGGTCGATCGCTTTTTCTAACGCTGACTATACCCTACTTAGCATTCTAGTACCTATGAAAGTCTCACGAACGGAGCTTTGGCGGACGGTTGCAGCTGCTTATTTCACTGATCTACCGTAGGTGTAACGCTACCAGCCCGGGGCCGTTCAAGTGGAACATGGTCTTAGACATTATCTGAGACTGTTCGAGACAATCCCAGGGTATCTATCACACCTGGTATTTGTGCTCATTATTCACTCTCCACCAAGACGGTGCTGAGAAAGTAACAATGCCCATTGGCTCGAGCAATGGATGTGAGATGTCAGTGTGGGCAGTCGCACTCTGTATGGTAGAAGCGCAAGGTATAATAATTGGGTGTGGTTTCCTTGGTTTTCTTACGGAAAGTTTTCCCGATTGTGATTATCCTTTCCCAACTATTGCTCTTGGTTGTCTACCTCATGATGAAGACCTCCAGGAACGGAAGCAATTCAAGTGCTGGCGGCGATACATACAAGCCTACCACTACTGGTACCAGCATGAAGAATCCTAAATCTGGCCCAAGTCGAGCAGACCCACGGTATGGTTCCCATGATGTCAAGAAAAAAGGGTTCTCGGATGTGCGCCAGGCGTCTAAGCGACCATTGCCCACGCAAAATGGCGACGGAACCTACCCCTCAGAACTTACTCGGCCTACCATGGTTCAGAATCTGAAGGCTCTACAGGCCGCAGGTGTGTGAAAAGCTTTGCCATAGACGAAGAATTTGAGCAGATACTGACGGCGAGAGAAGATCTCAAGACACTCGTTCAGATCATCAAATCCAAGATCAAGGGGGAGAAGATCCAAGATGACAAAACCATGATCATGGAACGGACAATTCAGATTGTTGCCAAGCTCCCACACAACTCTCGCCTACGAGAGCAACTGACAAACACTTTCATTGAGGAGCTCTGGGGGTCACTCGACCATCCTCCGATGCTTTACATGGGCGATGAATACAAATACCGTCAGGCCGATGGATCTTACAATGTTAGTCAACTGGCACTGAACACTTATGTACACATTCTAACGAGAGAGTTCACAGAATCCAATGCTTCCAAGGCTAGGAGCTGCCGGAGGACCATATGCCAGATCTGTTAAGCCTCGTATTGTCACCCTCGGCGCCATGCCGGATCCTGGCTTGATCTTCGATGCCGTGATGGGGCGCACGAGCTACAAGAAACACCCTAACAACGTTTCGAGTATTCTTTGGTATTGGGCAACCATTATTATTCATGGTTAGTAGACTTTCCCCGTGGGGACTCTGAGGACGTAAGTGTTCTGACGAATGGTAGACCTCTTCTGGACGGACTTCAAAGACGTGACGAAGTCCAAAACGTCCGCGTATCTTGATCTCTCGCCATTGTATGGAAGCAATCAGGAGATGCAAAATTCAATCAGAACATTTAAGGATGGCAAGCTCAAAGCCGATAGTTTCGCTGACAAGCGTCTGATCGGAATGCCACCCGGAGTCTGTGTCCTCTTGATCATGTTCAACCGATTCCATAACCATGTGGCGGAGAATTTGGCTGCTATCAACGAGGGAGAGAGATTCACACCGCCAAGCAAAGATCTCAACGAGGAGAAGACAGCTGCGGCTCTGAAGAAGTACGACGAAGACTTGTTCCAAACTGCGAGACTTGTGACATCTGGCCTCTACATCAACATCACATTGGTCGATTACGTACGAAACATCGTCAATCTGAACCGCACCAACACGACTTGGACACTCGACCCCCGACAGGAGGCTGGTATCGATGCCGGTACACCGGATGGAGCGGAGGCAGGCACTGGGAACGTCAACTCTGCTGAGTTCAACCTTTGTTACCGATGGCATTCGTGTATCTCAGACAAGGACGACAAGTGGATCCAGAAGTTCTACGGCAAGCTCCTAGGTAACAAGGGCCAGATGTCCCCCCAGGAAATGGCCTGCGTTTTCGGGCAATTCGAGAAGTCTATCCCAGACGACCCTGGTATGCGTACTTTTGCAGAGTACGAAAGGGGCGAGGACGGAAAGTTCGACGATGACGACCTTGTGGATTGCATCAGCTCTGCGATTGAAGACTGTGCTGGAGCGTTTGGAGCTCGAAACGTCCCTCAGGTTATGCGACCTGTTGAGATTATGGGCATCTTGCAAGGACGCAAGTGGAATGTCGCTGGTTTGAACGAGTTCCGAAAACACTTTGGCCTCAAACCCCATGAAAGTTTCGAAGAAATCAACTCAGACCCCGCTGTCGCGGATCAACTAAGGAACCTCTACCAACACCCAGACTACGTTGAACTATACCCTGGCCTCGTCGCCGAGGAGGCAAAGACTCCGCTGACACCTGGTGTTGGCATTGCCCCCACATACACCATCTCTCGTGTCGTTCTCTCGGACGCTGTCTGTCTGGTTCGCGGCGACAGATACTACACTACGGATTACAACCCCCGGCACCTGACTCAATGGGGCTACAAGGAGGTTGACTATGACTTGAACGTCAATCATGGTTGTGTTTTCTATAAGCTGTTTCTCAGAGCTTTCCCCAACCACTTCAAGGGCAATTCTGTTTATGCCCATTATCCCATGGTCATTCCGCCGGAAAACCAACAGATCCTCACGGATCTGGGAAGAGTCAATCAGTTTGATTTTGAACGCCCGAAACCCATTCCAACAAGGACCAACATCACGTCTTTTGGCGGTGCCAAGTACGTCTTGGACAGCCAAAGTCGGTTCAAGGTGACGTGGGACGACGGATTATCCTTCTTGATGGGCAAGGGTGGAAGCCGCTTCATGCTTTCCGGAGACACTGACTTTCACACGGGCCAGAAGAAGTGCATGAGTGCTCAACTCTACCAAGACGACTGGAATTCTCATGTTAAGAAATTCTATGCCGATATTACGGAACAGCTACTTCGCGAGAAGTCATACAAGCTTGCCGGTCAAACACACGTTGACATCGTTCGGGACGTAGGCAACATCGCCCACGTTCATTTCGCCGCCAGAGTGTTCAATCTCCCTCTGAAGACACACAAGAATCCCAAAGGCGTCTTCACTGAACAGGAGATGTATCAGATCTTGGCGGTAATCTTTGTCTGCATCTTCTTTGACATCGACCCAGCCAAGTCTTTCCCCCTTCGCCAAACCGCGAAAGAGGCAGCGCAGTCGCTGGGCAAGCTTATTGAGACGAACGTCAAGATCACTACGAAGACAGGGCTTCGTGGGATCTTCACTGGCTCAGCAGACAAGCAAGACCCTCTCGCATTGTACGGAACCAATATGATCAAGGGTCTCGGTAAGGCCGGCCTGAGCACCTACGATATCGCTTGGAGCCAGATTCTGCCTACTTCGGGAGCGATGGTGCCGAATCAAGCTCAAGTCGTAAGTGGCCCGTTGGTGAACTCTTCATGCTACTGTGCTAATCCATGCCCAGTTCGCTCAAGCGGTTGATTACTATCTTTCGTCTCCAGGGTCGAAACACCTAGATCAAATTCATGCCGTTGCCAAGGCACCCTCTACCAAGGAGTCTGATGCTGTGTTGCTTGGCTACGCCATGGAGGGCATTCGACTTGCTGGCACGTTCGGTTCTTACCGTGAGGCGGCCCAAGACGATGTCATCGTGGAGGATGATGGTCGAGAAGTGCCTGTGAGAAGGGGAGACAAGATCTTTGTTAGTTTTGTGAGTATTCGTACCGCCGACCGCGACTTGTGACTTCCCCTCTGATTGACATGACTTGCAGGTGTCCGCCGCCAAGGATGCGAACCACTTCCCTCACCCAGAGGAGGTCAACCCGCGGAGGCCGATTGATTCGTACATCCATTACGGCCTTGGCCCTCACTCTTGCCTGGGGCGCGATGTAAGCCAGGTGGCTCTCACAGAGATGTTCAGAGCGCTCTTCCGGAAGACGAATGTCAGGCGAGTGCCGGGGCCCCAGGGGCTCTTAAAGAAGGTGCCAAGGCCTGGCGGTTTCTTTGTGTACTTGAAGGAGGATTGGGGCCAGATTTGGCCATTCCCAGTCACCATGAAGGTGATGTGGGACGATGAATGAATTGCGTCGTCTACGGATACTCTACCGATACTATAGATCTGTGTTCCATGATATGACTCGGCGACGGATAGCTTGCCGACCGTGGAGAATGGAATCGAATTTTCCAATCAGGTTTCTTTTTACCTGAATCAGTCAGCAACATTGACTTTTGGGTGAATGGAATGAACTTCCCGCTGCTGTGAAAAATCGGGCTGCTTCAGCTGAGGCCGACCCTTCTCGGAAAGTATCCGTGGACCAGCGTCACAAGTATCGGCATCTCCACCTGGCACCCCTGCATCGCCCTGGGAATTGAAGGGGGATTGGCGAAGGCCAGTTATTAGTGGCATTCTCTGTTTCGCCAGCACGCAAGAATAGTATGGAATCGCCAGTGAGCACATCATCCCTTGACAGTACAGCCGCGGTGGGCAGGCGGTAAGACACAAATTTGGGCAAGTCTATCAGGGCCATCGTTGGAGTTAGGCATATCTTAGATAGCAGAGAGTGTCATTGTCTCATCCCTTAACAAGTATCCCTTTGCATGCGATCCTGAGGGAGGAGAGTGGATGCCCAGCGCCGAGACAACTGCCGCGCGGCTTTGAACTAGTCGTGGATTTTTGATCTAGGCTTCAGAATATTCTGACTTCTAACCTGGTACTGAATCTGTCAGTGATATTGGTGGTGTTCTTGCTATGCCTAGTGAGGAGGTGCAGTTCTATTGAAATGCACGTGTTCCTCTTTCGTTGTTCGTGCGCTTACGAACTTCAAGACTTTGCATGTAAGCTAAGACTTCAGATCTGCTGGGACCGGATTGGATCATTGGGCCAGGTAGCTGGAAATCCCAGTTTCTGGATATATCCGTTCGTGGCACCCAGCATATCCGCCGGGAGGGGTCAGCAATGAGGGGCCGACGCACGCAGCACGTAGCATCGGAAATTAAGGAGACACAAAGGCGGTGGCCCCAGCGTGCCTGGCGGTTGACAGTTTTAACAATCCAGGAACAACTTGACAGCCGGCGGCTTTGTGAATGAGCAGCCCGTGCTGTTGGGCTGAGCTGACCAAATCATGCGCGCGGCCCATGGCACCCACTCCCACGAACACACGTCTATTTCCAACCAGTTTCCTGGCCTCTCCCTTGGAATGCGTGGGTGCCTTTCGGTGAGGAAGAATCAAGAGCAAAAGAGCAAAAGTGAGACTGCGAGAGAATCCCTGATTTGGGCAGTGGGATGCCGGAGGTGGGTAAGTGTTTTCCCCCCATATCCCCCTTTCTGCTATCATCTCTTTGTAACAACCGCAGTCCAATTGGATAAGAGGAGTCGAGGACTGCTTTTGGATCATTCTTGGACCTCGGACGATGGAACCCCCACTTGCGGCCCTGATGTTGGCCAGTGATGTTTGGTTGCGTTTATTAACTTCGGACGGCGTTCGCGTTTTTTCTGTTTCGCATAGCCAAACAACCCTGCCGTTTTAATATATCTGGGGTACAGCAACCAACCGCGCTATCCACTCAAGCGCGTGGACCATCAAAGACCTTGCAGATGGAAGAGGACGAGAAAAAAATTAGAATGGAAAAAGTCTAGACGCCCCTAGCTGGCTGAGGGTCAGCCTCGCAGACCCATGTTCATCCCAGGGGGCCATGTGTTGCAAGCGCATCGCCCAGCCTGTCATGTCGTAGAAGGCACTTAATCCCGGGCCGTAGCACCGGCACTGCTTGCCTAGCTCGGCCGGGTCTGGATCGTGCTCCGGGATGGCCCTCCGAGCGGACGTCACCCGACGGGCCTCGCTCTTCTATCCGAATGACTCGTTTTACTATTGAACATTCCCCTATTCGCTCAAGAGCGTCAATGGCGGTGGCTCATCTTTCCATCGTCAGGCGATGATAACAACCTACATCACTATATCCACGCTGCCGGGTCCCGACAATTCCCACAATCTTGGCCGGAGCAGTGCGGATCTACTCCGTACAACATCAGATGCATTTTACTGACCCCCCTCCGAATGGGGCTGGAAACTGGGGGTAGCCATGGCACCTCGAAGCCGTCTGTCCCGATTTGGGTCTTGCATTGCCATGGGTTGTTGCTGAAGGCAAGACATATAATGGTTGGCACACCTCCTCCGACAAAGCCTATCTCTTTTTGGACCTTCTCTCCAACAACTTCATTTCTGTTCCCATTTGCGCTGGTTGCTATTCCACTTTCTTTTGCCCATCTGCGACGGGTGTACACTCTCTTTGACACTCTCGTGTTCCATTCATTTCCCACCAGACGCATTTTCCGCATACCGACGACAGATTCGCACATTCACTTCTAGGTCATCAAGCCTCACAATCATTCACCATGTTCAAGTCCCTTCTCACCACGGGGCTTTTGGCTGCGGCTGCCGTAGCCCAGCAGACAACCTCATATGTCGACTCCGCAACTGGCATCACCTTCCAGAGATACACCGAGACCTCTGGATTTTCGTTCGGTGTTGCTCTGCCTTCGACTGTTGGCAAGGACTTTATCGGCCAGATCTCTGCTCCCATCACCGCGGGATGGGCCTCCGTCTCTCTGGGCGGTCCCATGACCAACAAGCTTCTTGTTGTTGCGTGGCCCAACGGAGACTCTATCCAGACATCCATTCGCAAGGCGTCAGGATACTCGAACCCCGACGTTGTGACGGATTCCGGTATCACTCTCAAGCCTATTGAGTCTGGCACCTCCGTCAACGCCACTGCCTTCACTTACACCTTTGTATGCGAGGGATGCATCACCGGTGACACGACCACCTTCACTGGCACTTCTGATACCACTACCTTTGGCTGGGCTTACTCGACCACTGCCCTGTCCGACACCACGAGCGCTTCCGTCGCTCTCAACTACCACGGTGCTGGATTTGGTCTTTTCGGTGCAAACCTCGCCTCTGCCAAGTCCGCCGATTACGCAACTTGGGCCGCGAAGGCTTCCGATGCCGTCTCCACTCCCGGCACAGGCAACGGAACCTCCCCGTCCGTCCCCGCTAACATCACGACCACGATTTCCAACACTACCTACGATTACATCGTCGCCGGTGGCGGCGCCGCTGGTCTTATTGTTGCCGAGCGTCTGGCCGAGTCCGGAAAGAGCGTCCTTCTCCTTGAGCGTGGAGGACCTTCTTTGGCGTCCAGCGGTGGCAAGGCTACCGTCGACTGGAACAGCACTGTCACCCAGTACGACGTCCCTGCCATGGGCTACTACCTCTCGACCGCCAAGGAGACCAGCGAGTACTGCACGGACACCGCTTCCCAGGCTGGCTGCATTCTCGGCGGCTCTACCATGGTCAATGCCATGATGTGGGTTAAGCCTCCCGCTCACGACTTCGACGACAAGTGGCCCACGGGCTGGAAGTGGAGCAGCGTTGAGGAGTCTGCCAACAAGCTCTACGAGCGAACCCCGGGAACCATCCTCGCCAGCAAGGACGGAAAGCGTTACGACCAGGGCGCCTACGATATCATGTCCCAGTGGCTGGCCGGCAATGGCTTCAGCGAGGTTGACGCTCTTGCCGAGCCCGATAAGAAGGAGGCAGTCTTCACCCACCCTCCTTGGTTGATTGAGAACGGTATGCGTGGCGGTCCCGTCCGTGACTACCTGCCTCTTGCCCAGGCTTTGCCCAACTTCAAGCTGCAGCTTAACGCCAAGGTCATCCGTGCCATCCGCAACGGTACCACCATCTCTGGTGTCGAGATTGAGACTGCTACCAACGTTCGCCAGATCATCAACCTGAAGTCCGGCGGCGCCGCCATCCTGGCTGCTGGTGCTCTCTCTTCCCCTCGTATCTTGTTCAACAGCGGTATTGGCCCCAAGGAGCAGATCCAGACTGTTCAGAACGGAACCGCTCAGGTCACCCTCCCCGCTGAGGCCCAATGGATCGACCTCCCCGTCGGCCAGAACCTCAAGGACCACCCCATCTTCACAGTCAACTTCAAGACCAAGTCCACCCTTAACTCTCTGGCCAGCACTGCATTCACCGCCCCTAGCCAGACCGACGTTGACCAGTTCGCTCAGGGATCCGGACTTCTGAGCCAGGCTGGACAGCGCCTGAACTTCTGGACCAGTGTCGAGGGCTCTGATGGTGGCAAGAGATACGTCCAGGGCACTGTCAACTCTCCTGCCAACGACACTATCCGCGTCAAGGTCTACCTCACTCACGGTCTCACCTCCGTCGGCGCTCTCGGCATTTCTGCCGACGGCTCCACCAAGCTCACCACCGAACCCTACCTTACTACTACTGAGGATAAGGAGGCTATCACCAGCTTCATGAACCAGCTTATCCAGTACGCCTCCAAGTCCAACAGCACCCTGACTCTGTCCGGCAACGTCACCGCCGAGAGTCTCATCTCCGAGCATACCACCGGTAGCCACTTTGTCGGCAGCGCTGTCATGGGCTCCACCAACGACGGAAACAGTGTCGTCGATACCAAGACCAAGGTCTGGGGCACTGATAACCTCTATGTCGTCGATGCCTCCATTCACCCTGACTTGCCCACTGGTAACACCCAGGCTATTGTCATGGTTGCGGCCGAGCACGCTGCTGCCCAGATCCTTGGAGGAGCTGGTAGCGCTACCAACTCTGGCTCTGATTCTAGCTCCGGTTCCGGTTCTGGTTCCGGCTCCGGCTCTGGCTCCGGCTCTGGCTCCGGCTCTGGCTCTGGCTCGACTGGTTGCAAGCGTTCTGTCAAGCGCCTCGAACGCCTTCAGCGTTTCCGTCGCGCTCACCACAGCTTCTAAATATGTGGATATGCTCTTTTATGTGTATACTTCTAAGTGTGGAAACTTGCCATTTGTATATAAAAGTAAACAGTACCAAGACTTGATTTCAGCAAAGTACTCTTGCCATTGTTGATTCCTTTCCGCTTTGCATAGACAAATTATGTAGCTTGATGGGAAGATGATGTGTAGCTGCCAGATTGTAAACTTTGGTGAACACGACTGATGTTGATGACTAAACCCACATCCGTGGGAAAGAAGAAAGAAAATAAGAAAAGATGACACATACTTCTTAGATCAGTCGCTCCTTTCTGAGCAATAATCTTACATCACCAAACAGGGCTCTTAAACCAAACAAGGCTGATGTGAAATCAATTATACACCAGTGTGGTAAAGTTATACGTAAGGCGTGCTCAGAATAGTTGACGCTTCGACCTCTGCGATTATTGATAAAGCGAAAATACCTGTGGCACACGGTGACTCTTTGGGAATGTCGATTGGCAAATTTGCTTGTTTTGAAGGTGGCTACTTAGATTTACCAAGCTTACTTGTACCGGGCGGGCTGTGACTATGTATAAGTGTAGACCAGTTTATGAGAGAGAAGAGACGAGAAGACGGTGTGCCTTAAGTGAGAGGCTAGGAAAGTTAGAGGTCTCCGAGTCCACAATAACGAAACATCGCATGTATCTTGGCAGTGTTCGGAACAGGTGCTCCCTTTACTTATCTTTGTGATTTGCACGATTATTGATGATAGCATTGGTCGAGGCCTGCATATGTAGATAGGTTTTATGACAGTGATGAGTGATTTGAGCCGTCTATCTATTGCGCTCGTCTAAACTGAATAGCCGCAAAGAACATCTGTATTCCTGGGTTTCGACTAACTAATCTTGGTACTGTTTGCGGTTCTTTTGGGCACAAACACTGCTTCTAGCGTCTTTCCGGGATCTGGTGATTTGCTAAGGCTTCAGCTTCCGCTAAAGGCATGTTCGGGATGTTTGGCCGTAAGTCAAAGATCGACGGCAGAGATGGGTGAGCGGCCTGATAAGTGCGATGGCCTTCTTGAAAGTTGATTCAACCTACCAAGCGGATCCATTTACGCGAACGGTCATAGCATTGCTGAACTAAGTCTCCGGTGGTTGTGTGGGAGAAACGATCTCGTTCAGGAATGGCGAAACCTCTTTAGTTCAATAATGTAGTCCACGGGCTATACGAAACTTCTATGAACGATTTCCCCGAACCTGGGAAGAGAGAACCCATCCGGCAAGCCTACCTCCAGACGCTTCGAGATGCGTGCTCGTATCCGGGAGAAAATCAGTCATCTGGAAAAGGAGCAGCCGTTCCGCTGGAGACCATTTTCTACCAAACTGCGGACGAATGTCTCAAGGCGGCGTAGACACTATGGGGCCAATAGGTAACGTATTCGCGTTGGCCGTTGAGTCTCACATGATACCTGCGGGTTGCCGCGTCCCTGTGGAGCATTGTTTCGTATTTGGGGGCATGCAACATAGGTAGATGAATATAGTTTATTACGCCCGGAAAAGAATCTTCACAGCGGATTGCTACGTTAAATTGTCTACGTCTCTCTTACTGTCGTTCCGACCGGCTTAGTCCTGAAGAAGATCAAGCTTGGCGGGTGGGACATGCAAGGATGGGACCGAGCATACCAATCACGACAAAGGATCGATGATAAAACCAGTTAGACATGGCCTCAGAGTAGAGGTCCCACACGCTTCGCTTCCAGAAGGCAAACATGTAAGACTGAACTCACTCGTGTGTTACGAGCGACGGTGCCCAACGGAGGTGACAAGCATCCACGTACGGCCTACGGACTCGGAGGTCGGAAGTTTCCCAAGACCAATGCTGAGTACTTTGCTAGAGAGACTCCAGTACATGCTTCAAGCAACTGAAAACATCAAGATCCCTGCTGAAGCAGTGCGTCCCAAATCCCATCGGAAAGCCTAGGAAGCTCTCGGTACAACCATTCTCACACAAGTCGATATTATTCATGGATCCAAGTAGCATTAGGTATCAAGGTCCAGTCGTGTTTGGCATATTCTGCCTGTACCCTCTTTCTCTGAGCTTGATTATAAAGCCTGCTTCAACAATTCCAGTGTTCTGGGCATTAATTATAGTCTACCACAGTATTTCTCTGTGGTGTTCATCGGGTGCTAAATGACAATAAAACAACCATGCCTTCTTCTCTATATTTGGTCTCTATTGTTAAGTTATAACCATGGAACTGATACTTTATTCTATTCCTCGCTTACTCAGTTTAACAGGGTCTCGCTCGCTTACTAGCAGAGGCGCAGCTTGCGGCCTGCTGGCTTGCTTACATCTAGCGCTTACACGTGCTACCATTGAACCAAGCTTTGAAAAGAAACTAAAGCTTGGCGTGAAGGAACCTCTCCGTAGGATGTTACTCAACTTTTTCCGTAGGACACGGAGAAACTTCAGAAAGTTCATGATAATACAAGTCTAAGAGTATATAAAGGACATTCTGATCACTGTTTATAACTCCTAACAACTCCATCTCATCCCTCTTCATAAGTCTCTTGCCCCAGAACAACAACTTTGCCACTTTCACAAGGATTCTACTTCTTTACCCACAATGAAGATCACTCTATTCGCTGTCACTCTTCTTGCTTCGCTGGTATCCGCCAGAGAATTCGTTTTGTTTGATGATGCCAACTACAATGGTGCTTCTCATAGGGAGATACGCAATACCGATGGCGCCTGCTGTAAGTAGTGTCAATTATCAGATTCACCAACTCCATGCTCAAGAACAATATAGGGAATCTCAACGGCAAAGGCGATCGAGCAAGTTCCGTCGGAGGTGATGGAGGATGTACTACTTTCTTCCGGTGAGAAACCTCTTCGTCTCTCTACTCACATGGCTTACCTGTTGACATAATATCAGAGAGCGTGACTGCAGGGGATCCAGCTGGCAGCAGCGCGGTTCTGCACCCACTGTTCCAGGTTTCCTTAATGACCACATCTGGTCATTCCGCAACCAATGCTAATTGGTCGTCACGTCAATTCTGGAAACAGATCTGGGCTACTTGTCCTTGTTGATTCTTCCACGAGGATCACCAAGCATCTGGCATACGAACACAGAAATATCTCTGGTCATAAGAATGGAAGAGGGAAGGAAATGCATTTTCTGAGTCATTTCATGTCTCCAGCTTCGCACAAGTCTGTTGCGATTAGTGTTACCAACAAAGCCCGTTGTCAGCTGCCTGTAACGCAAGAACCACAGCTTATACTCCGTCCATCGGACTTTGAGCCAGCACTCATCACATGTCAATAAACAACTTTGAACCGGGAGAGATGCGTTGCAGCTTCAGCATTATAAGATTGTGATCCATCGCTTGTTTGAGACATTGATTCGTCAAAGTCCCTGTTTCTGAAGCTCGATAGATTCATTTAACTTATTCAAAACATTGAAGATGGCCTGGTTGGGCGAGTATGCGCGCTCACAGCCTGCCGAAAAATATCCTTCTTGACATAATCTGTTGTCAATTACTTGTGTATGTCTACCTGGAGGTTCCGAAGTGGCAATAGACATTTGCCTGCTTAGTTTCTTTATTCAAAGATCTGGACCTGAGAATCTCCATGGTTCTCTTCCCCAAGTTATACCACGGGTAGAAGCCGCCTGTGTGTTGATGCTCGTCGCGATGGGCGACTCGGAAACGTGTAAGAAAGTAGAGATGAGAATTCGTCGGTTGTACTGCTTGTCCCCAAGATTGGGTTCGAGGTATTCAGTGGACTTCTATTTACGGATTTATCTTTTCGTGGGCAAAGCTCAAGTCAGACGCAAAGACTAAATATCTCTAGCCCCCCTTAAACTTCCAGAAATTTCTCAATGAGGAGGATGTCGAACTGTTAGCCCGGTCGCGATGTATAATGGTAGAGGAATTGGTTTGAGATGTGTCAAGAATGTGTAAAGGCCCCCTTCTGTCTCTGCTGTGACAAACGACTTCTGCCTCGAGTCCTATACTTCTTCTATGCCCTCTTGAAACCGCACATGGCGACAATTTCTCTCAATCCGGCCACGGATATGGCTGGTCGCCAGATCGTGCGCCCATGGACGTAGCGCAGCTAAAACGTACCTACCCAATCGCTCAACAACATCACTCCGTCAACACCCGCCGCACCCACTCCAGCTTTGTCGCGATAGACCGGCGTCCCAACCACGAATCTGGTGCCATCTCGTCAAACCCGTGGAAGCCGCCCGCCCATACGTGTAACTCTGCCGAGACCCCGGCCGACCAGAGCCGCGACGCGAACTCCACTGCTTCATCACGGCAGAATTCGGCGGAGCCCGCCTCAATGTACGCGGGTGGTAACCCCACTAGTGTCTCGGCCCGCGCAGGCGCCCAGTATGAGCTTATAGTGTCGCCGGCCCGGGTCCGGGCCCCGGCGCGCTCGCCCAGCGCGATGGCCCACGCCGCCGCGTTCTTAGTCCGGTCCCATGGCTCTACGCCGTCATCGAACTGCGCGCAGCTGATGGAATTGCAGCGGTCGTCGAGCATTGGGCAAGGCAGCATCTGCGCGTGTACCGAAGGGTTAAGCCCCACGTCGCGCGCCCGCAGCGCGAGCCCGGCCGCCAGCCCGCTGCCTGCCGACTGCCCGGCCACCAGGATGCGCGCTGCGTTAATACCTAGTACGTCTGCTGACGCCTGCACCCATTTCAGTGCCGCGAAGCAGTCATCCGACGCTGCTGGCTGCGGGTGCTCCGGCGCGCGGCGGTACTCGACGCTTATGAGCACGGCGCCTGCGGCCACAGCCCAGTCCAGCGGCTGCGAGAGTCCGACGAGGCGGTGGAGGAAAATTAGGCCACCGCCATGCGCGTATAGGATGCAGGGCCACTGCTTCTTATCACTCACTGAGGCCGCATTGGGCGTGAAGATGGAGAGCGCGATGGGAGGGTCATTCAGGCCAAGGCCGGGGGCCGTGTGCTCGGCGTACGTGAGGGGCCGGTCGCCTATGGCTTCCGCGGCGGCAATGTGTGGGGCCTCTAA